TTGAGGGGTAAGAAACTCAAGTTCTTTGCTCAATAAGAAATGATAATCTAGCCCAGAAGAAAATGGCAACCTTAATCAGGAAACAGAACATCGTGCTAGGCAAGTGCTAGAAAATGGAAGAAAATGTTCAGGTAAGGAAGTCTTCAGTGTTGGTTAGAGTGGACAGAAAGGAATTTTTTGGTGAAGAAAGGATTTACAGTAAATCCTCTAGAACAATAGCTGAAAGAAAAGGGAAGAGCCAGTTAGATGAATGAGCAGTACAACAAAACTTTCGGAGTTGGGAAAGCTGATTTGTTTTGAGGGGATAGAGAGATTATGGGAGTCTCCCCTTGAATGAAAGATCCTAGTTGATAAAAGTTGAATAAAGTATCGTCAATTTAGACATTCTCCAATAAACAATAGTCCTTCTGAAAATTTTGTAATGAAACTGTGCTTTAGGATGGCTCATTGTTTTTCTTTGAAAACCTGAAAAGGATACAGGAAATACAGATATACATAATGCCTGTTTGGATTTGTTTCCTAAGAACGACTAGAGATATGTGAGACCCAAGAACTGATAAACCTTAAGAGACAAATCCTATCTCTAATAGAAAGATACATAGAAAAGCTATTCTAGCTATATAATAAAACTGTTTCTTTTCCAGTGGACTATGCATATCTCAATGTGAGTATAGGCAGAATGGCAGCAGCCTTTGTTCTAACAGGGCCTGATGATAGTTTGTATACTTAAAATATGTCACAATTACACACTCACTCATCTTCCTGCCGATAGCAGTAAAGATCTGCTGCTGACAATTTTGAGCATAAGCACTTATCTTCTTTAGAGAACGATTTTGATCTTTCCTTCACCCACCCCAGTATCAAATAAAGGTAACATCACCAGTACCCAGTATGGTTCTACACAGGGAAGAAGGAAAGGGAAGCCAGCTTCTATTAATTATTATTCTAATAGTTAGGACTAGCAGCTAGAATTCAATGTCACATGTTACAGCTACGAAGAAAAAACATTTTAACTAATTAATTTATAGTCACATATTTAGAAAGATATTTGGTGTCTTCACTGACAGCAATGTGTCATAGAAAAAATAGTTTTGAGAAGTGCGGGACAGAGATTAACTTGGTAACGTCATCTTCAACTCTCTACCACCTCCCATATCATTGTTCCAAATACAGATTTCCCTTGACTTACAACAAGGTTATGTCCCGATAAACCCATTGTAAGTTGAAAATGCATTTAATATGCCTAACCCACCAAACTTCACAGCTTAGCCTAGCCTACCTTAAATGTGCTCAGAACACTTATGTAGCCTATAGGTGGGCAAAATCATCTAACACAATGCCTATTTTATAAAAATAGGCTGAATATCACATGTAATTTAGCGAATACTGTACTGAAAGTGAAAACTGGTGGCTGCATGGGTACAGAATGGTTGTTAAGTTTATGGGCTAGTTTAGCTTGTGATCGCTTGGCTGAGTGGGAACTGAGGCTTGCTACTCCACAGCCCAGCATCACAAAAGAGGATCGTACCACATATCCCTGGCCCAGGAAAGGATAAAACTCAAAATTCCAAGTAGTTCCCACTAAATGTGTATTGTTCTCAAACCAGCATATAGTTGAAAACTCCTAAGTCGAACCATTCAAGTCAGGGATCTTCTGTAATATCCTTATTTTTCAAGTACATGTATTTTGAAGATTTTTATTGGAAATGTGCATGTAAATTGAAATTTTGAAAAAATAAAAAATAGAACGTAAAGTGAAAAACCTTCATCCTACTAAACACTCCCTAGTCTTCCCCCAAAGGGCAAACTCCGTTACTGAATTTATGTATCCTTCCAGAAAGATTCTCTCCTCCTCCCCAGCAATGTACACAGATGGATGCTACGGACGCTATTAATAATGACAGGAACATATACTTACATACACTGTTATGAAAGGCAGAAGAGCATTCCAAGGTATAGATAGATATGTACCACTTTTCACTTAGACTCAGTCACTTACAAATGTGACTATTCTCACATATTATATTGTATATTACATGTACATGTACATTACAGGTACATTAAATTGTACATGTACTTTTTATTTTGGTACACCTGTAGCCTACTTTCTGAAAATATAATTGTTGAAAATATAAATGCATTTTAAATTCTGGAAGATATTTCCAACTTGTCCTCCAAAGACAGGGTTTTAACACCTAATCTATCAAAAGATTATCCGAGTATATTTATAAGTAAGTGTAAGAAGCAAGGAAGAAAATTGTCTATTTTATGTACATCTTTCTCTTATGCCTCTGGCAGCAAATATCTAAGACTATAAAAAACAAATTAAATCTAAAAGTGAATAAATAATCTTGCTGAAATTAATCAGCTTAACGAGTCATTTGAATTTGATAAATATCACTGCATGATAATTTCAATTGTTGTAAATCCAAATGTACCAAACTGATAAAAAATATGCTATACTACAGTTATTTAGCTTATCAATTACACAGAGAAACAATCATAAGAGATGACTCATGTTTTCCCTTCGAGGAGAAACTTTTCTGCTTTTAGGAATATGTGATATATATAATTTAATTTCAAAGACATTAAAAAGATATATATCTGAAAAATGTGTTGTTTACCAAATAGGGTTGTATAGACCTTTAGCTACACTGTCACAAAAGTACTCTTATTAGAGCTGATTTGGGAGGAGTCTGGAATCTAGCATTGGATTTTATAATCTTAACTTACCAGTTAGGCTAACAAGAAGAAATGCAAGTTCTACTTGCTTTAGATTTCAATAACGTTGGTTAGTATTTACAAGATCTCATCACTATCACGAAAGAATTTCCTTGTTTATAATCTCTTTTAGGTTATTTCATGAGAGACCAAAATTCTTGACTTAGCATTTTAATATTCTAAAGAAACCACACAACAATACACAAACGTAATATGATGAGATCTCTTAAGAAATTATTTAATATAAGAATTCATCCAAAGAGTTGATAAAACACTAAAATGATAATTCCAGGTAATAATGAATATGAATTCATTGGTGAATTCATATTCACCAAGATATATGGCCAATTTCAAGTGATAAGTATGCTAGTTGTGGTTTGAATTTAAATTTTATTAGGGAGGTATCAGATTATGTCCATAATTCACACTAATTATTGCCAAATGTATTACCATATATGAAACATATTTATGATTATACTAGATAATTAATAACTATAATATGCACACGTATGTTCACAAATATTTAGACACAGTTTCTCAACTTTTCACATCCAACCGACTCAATCAAATAATGTTTAATTTAGTATCATGCCCTTAATTCAGGAGGGATCTATTTGATCAATCATTTCATTTTCTAGTTCCCCAAAGTGTTTATGAAATCCTGTGCATTCTTTGGAGTATTATGTGAAACCAAGCATACATCTCATCTGACTATATTGTTTAGTATGGACTGAAACATAGATATGTTTGCTCGTGTAGGTGAAAGTCTTGGCTTAAATTTGATCCCTGTTACATGATTAATTTATTTCTTTTCTGGCCATAGTCAATATTCAAAGAAAATAAGAGTTCAAAGACTAGCAAACGAGGATTTTCCTTATTTTTGTGATGTTTTTCCTCCGGAATTCTGTTTGGTCTCTGCATGTCACTGTATTTTCTCCAAATTCACTTTCCTGCACAGCAGTTTATAGAGACACCTAGCGGTAAACCATCATGATGGCTTCTCAGGCTATCCTTAATATTGAGTAAATGGTAGAAAGTTGTCATCACTTATTTATTTGAACCACAAGAAATAAACTGGAATATTGTTTCTAACAAAACTATAACCTAAATTAATTGCTACCATGTTTAAAACTTTTTAGCTCAACAAATTTATTTTTAATTAGGAAATAAATCCTTTAATTCAAAATCAAAAATTAAACTGAATTGTGATATTAAATACAATTTTGAAGATTTATGAAAGCAATAAAATAATGAACTAAAACTATACTACAGCTATTTTGAAAATTCCATAATTGATTAAACCATGTTATACCCAGAATTTCTATGGAGTTTTTCTACATCAAAAATTATGTCTGTGATAGAACTTAATATTGATATGCCAAAAGTTTCCAAGTTTAAGTAATATGTAATTTTTAAAACATGACAACTTAACACATTCATTTAAAAACATAAAAGCAATTTCATACTTTAAAAATAAATTTTCTAAAATATATAATGTTAGAAGATGATGACTAAATAAAATATATGGTAACCAGACTTTAGTGGATGAAGTTTAAGTTCTCTGTTTATATAAAGTACCTGTGGCAAATGGCTCTCATTCCCCAGCCAAAGGTTTCTAAATTTACAGGAAGTTCTGTTATAAGATTTTATTGTGTTATTCAATGATGTTAGAGATTACTTTGTTTCTCCCTCTCTTGTATATGCCTTGAATTTAAACAAAGTATGTATGGATTAACAAAAATATTTGCAAAACAGATTGAGAGGAAATTTCAAGAAATGCTGCAAAACCTCAGGAGGCTGCAATATTCACCACCTCTAGAAAACTCCTTCTAATTCAACACAGAGAGAGGATGTGAAAAGATGTTTGTGTGTGTGTGTATGTATATACATATACATATATATATATATATATATCAGAATCTCTATAATCCTATCTTTAATCAAGATATTATAACCACAATAGCATCCCAAACGTTACCAAGAAGGAGACAATATCAATTATGTTTAAGATGATCCCAAAAGAACATTAATTCATAATTAATCCCAAAATAAAATAGATGAAATCTATTTAAATGGTAAAACTTCCCGGTTATCATACGAACAGGCACATGTTCACTCAGCCTCCATTGGGCCACGTATTATGATCAACTTTTTTTCTATACCTGGGAAGGACTGCAGGTCTAAGTATTACAAACACTGGAAATATGCCTTATGAATGTAAAGACCCCCCTCTAGGGTGGAGGTGTCTGGTTTCATAGGTAAGAGCAAGGAATACTTACTGTAGAGATGATGCTAGTGGAGTTTAGCAGGTGACTCTTCAAGAAACTCGCTTTCTATCGATACTGCATTTATTTAGGGGTCTCCAGCTTTTTAGTACACACCAAATGTATTCACAAACATTCTTTCTGAAAGTCGTTAACATTCCCTTGCATCGCCCAGACATACCTATAAAACGTAATTCTTAAAGAAAAAAAAAAGCATTAGCGCCCTTGTTTGCAGCTAGGATGAACCACTCCCTCTTCCAGGGTCCTTTAGAGTTAAGTACAGAGGCAGAAGCAGGGGCAGTATCATTCTAAATGGTGGGAGGAAGGCAGGCGATCAGCACAGGGTTGGAATCATCTGTCCCTGACCACCAACAAGCCTGGCACTGTCGGGGTTATTTCCACTCCTCCCTTTTTCAATCCAAGGATTGCACAGTCCCACGCTCGAGTTACGCACAGGTTCCAAGACTCTTCGTCTCCCACGAATGTGACATCCAAGGGGGCTCCGATTGCGCCGCCCGAATCCAGGGACGCCTTCGCCCTCGGCTGCCATCTATCGGCCACCGAGCGCCCGCTTCGCCCCGGGCCCATCATGTCTGCTGCAGCTTGGCTCGCACCAGCGGCGCGACAATAAACAAGTGCATTGGACGGGGCCCTGCGCCCGCGCTGGAGCAGATGTCTCAGAGACCCCGGTGATGCTTACCGTGTTGCCACATCTTCAGCGCCCGGGAGGGAAGAAGCGATTTTTTCTGAGTATTTTAGAGCCACCAGGCTGCCGGGACACGCCACAGGCGTAAAACAACGCTGCTCCTGTCCCCCCCTAGGCCCCCTAAAGGATGTCGGAGATAGAGAGTTCCAAATAATGACGATCGTGCGCCGCATCTGGGGAAAGGATGAGAAAAACCTCTGCAAACACCGGGAGTGATGAAACTGCCAAGAGGATGCGGGAACCGTACAAATACTAATTAGGGGCCGCCGCGGCGGTGGACAGAGAGAGGGGACAGCGGCGGCGGGATCCCGGCGCGGTGGTCGCCACTACGCGGGGGGTGGAGGACGGCGCAGGAGCCGTAGCCACCCCAGGAGTAGCCAAGGGGCCGATGCCACCTTTGCTCGCCCCCTCACTACCATGTACAGTGTGCGCTGCAAGAAGAAGGCGGGCGATGCATGCACACCCCCGCGCCCCGCTCCCTCTGGCTAGTCCCCAGGCGTGCGCCACTGACCAGGGGGGAATGTGGTGAAGACGGCGAGGAGGAGAGCTGAGGGGGGAGGGGAGGGGCGGCCAGCGAGAACCCAGGCCCGAGGGTTCGTGGAGCCGGAGGCTGGAGGGGGCGGCGGCTGCTGCTGGCTTGGAGAAAGTTGCCCCTTATGCAGATGGCAACTGTAAGTACCCGCCTGGGGAGTGCCGCGTTGGGTGCCCGGGACCCTGCGATCGCGCGGTGGAGCCGGTGGGAACGAGTGTGCGAGTGAGCGTGAGTGTGAACGGGAGCGATCGCTCGGCGGGGCTGACCGTCACGTTGGAGGGGCCGGCGGTGCCTGGCAGCCTTCACGTCCCCTCCTCGGGTTCCGCGCCTCCCCCCCTCCAACAGCTCCCTCCCCGCCCCGCCCGGCTCCTGCTCCCGGCCCCTACCGCCAGGCGCCTCTACAGCCGGTCCTCCGCCGCCCCCTCCTCCTCCCTTCCCTATCGGCCGCTCGCGATCGCCCCCTTCTCCCCCTCCCCCCCACCCCGCTGCCCGCTTCGACTACCGCGGAGATTGCCGGGGAGAGCCGTTTGGGGAGCCCCGGAACCCGCGGTCGCCACCGCGGCGGCGGCCCCGGGCTGGCGGCGTCCGGGCGCCTCTTTCCTCCCGCCGCTCGGACCGCACAGCTCGCCGCCTTCTTGCCCTGCCTGGGCTCCGGAAACCCAATGCACACCCCAAAGAGGTATTTTTATGGGGCGGCTATGATGAGTGGGCCCTGGAGATGTGAAACGGGGTAAGTCGACCGTTTACTTTGCAAAAGAGGCTCGTGTGTGTGTGTGTGTGTGTGTGTGTGTGTGTGTTCGTGTGGCAGCGGGATGGCCAGCATTCCCTCTCCTCCCTCCCCTCCTTCCTTCCCTTTCCCTTCCTTCGCTTTGGGGCGGAGTGGGGGAAGGGAGCCTCGCGTCCTGGAACTCCGGGTGCTTCTGCCTGGGCCGCTGTGGGAGCAGCTGTGCCCAGAGCCACCGGTCGGGCCTGGGTGCTGGGCTCCAGCCCACGCAGCCCCACTCTGTGTAATGCAGGGATGTGCAGGGCGATGGTGTAAGGTCTAAATTCTTTGGGGGCAAATACAGTTCCTCCGCCCCCGACCTCCAAAAAAAAAAAAAAAATCAGATAATCTGAGAATGTGCAACGCACCCGCGAATTTACATCGGAGGTGCGTTTCCCAGTCAGAATGTCAACCCTCCACGGCTCATTCAACTTTATTTTCTCAAATTTTTGGGTTCCTTTGATGGCAAGGGGGAGGGGAAAGAGAGTAGGGTGAGAGGAAGCTCTTCGACCCCGGCTACCCAGAACTGAATTAAAGTTGTAAACGCTGGAGTTTAATACCGGCTGGTCACAATTTGCGATGGGCTGTCTGAAAGGGAGGGAGGTGAAGGGGGGCGGGGAAGTCGAGGGAAGGAGGGGGAGGGGACCCAACCCCTGCTGAATGGAGGTGCAGATTTCATCCTGTGGAGAACTGAATTTTCAAGGTAAACGTTTTGCTTTCCATAGGGGGTGTTTTTTCCGCTTTTAAGCTAGGAGGCGTTTGCGGTTGCGTTGGGAGGTTGGAGATACTTGTGAGGCTTATACACTGTGATTCCGATTCGTCTCGACACGTCTGGGTTGGCCACACGTGAATGATTCTCAGGCACACTTGCACATGAGCGTGCGAATGCAGGGGCTCTTAACGCGGGTTGGAGTCGGCCAGGGGAGCGAGGCTTGAACCCGTGACTCAGAAACGTCTTGGCTTTAGTTTTGGTTGTGATTCGACATCAGACTTCGGTGCTGATGAGGCAAAGGCCAGGTTGACTGGAGAAGAGGCATGGGTTCCCAGAGCCCAGCATTTTTACCCAATTCCCGCCTCCCCCCCCAACCCCCCCCCCCCCCCGCCGCAGCCAACACAACACGCACTCACACACTCTGACCATTTGTGTCCTTTCCCTTCTGAGTACCGCTGTCGACCCGAAGCAGCAAGTCCAAGGAAGCCTTTCAGAGGACAAAAAGAAATCCAGAAATAAAAGGGGGAGGGGGTCAGATCGGTTCCTTGAGAAGATGAAATTCGGATATTAAAGCACAGACCTATGTTACTTGCTGTTCTCCCTCCCTTTCTATTTCGCCTTTAATCAGCCCGAGTGCCTTTTTCTCTTGGGGGGGGGGGGGGGAGAAGAAAAGAAAAAGGAAAAACAAAGAAAGGAAAAAAGGAAGGGGAGTAAAACACTGACACTTAAATGTAAGAAACAACTCCAAAGATGCTGGCGATGCCGGCGAGGTACTTAGTTGAGTCCAAATCCTGCTAATCCAGGAGCGTTAGTGTTACATTCCGTGGCAAACGGACGCGGAGCGGGAGGTAAGGATGGTCCTCGGTTTACTTTTAGCTGATTCCCGGTAAGCGGCAGGAACGTCCTCTTTAAACTCCGGGTATCAGGAGGTGTTCCGGGATTGCGGATGCCTTCGCTGAGTTCTTTGTAATCCTTCGTGCAGAACTATTTCTGTGGCTTAGAGATGCGGTTTGGTAGCGTCGCTGACATGATCAATGAGGAGAAGTGGACGCAGGGCGCTCTCAGAGAAGCGCTGCTAAGTGGCACCGTGCATGCAATTAGGACGCTGATGTGCTTAAAAGCGTGGTAGTGAAGTCCACCATCAAAGGAACGCGCTCTCCTTTTTCTCCACACTCAAAGCTCCTGAAGACAATTGGTGATTTAAGAGCTTCTTCTGGGTCCTTTTGATGCATTATCTTACATCTCTTTTTTGCCTCTGAAAAGTGTTCTTTAGGTTCCCACCCTGGCATTTCCAGCGACGGTTTAAAATAGCCAAAGTATTGTGACTCCTTGCTTTTCTGTGAAAATGGGAGACCTTCACGGTGAACTGTTAACTGAGGAGGTTCTGAAAGAAAGGCAGACGGGTTTGCTATAGGTGAGGTGGGGAACCTTGTAAAATGGTGTTTCTTTTCTCTTAAATTAGAACCATGAAACTGAACTGACAGCCATTTTATGTATATTTATGGATTGGTTTTGAAAAGAGGGGGGAGCAGGGAAAACACTAAAATGGGACTTTATCTAACCTGCCCTTCTCTTGTGAAGGGCAGCATATTTCTGTTGTTCTCATTAGGAAATGAAATCAACCTTTAAATCAAAATGAGTATCAGATAATAATAAAGTCTGGAGAATGTCGGTGTTCCACTGGGGGGGGGGTCATTCATATCCCCTCCTTCTGGATTTCAGAGAAATAGTAGTAGGGAAGAGAGAGACTTTCTTCCCAATCCCTTAAATTTTTGTCATATTATGTTGTTTCCTTTTCTCCTCTCTCCCTTGCAGGAGGTAAAATGCACACTTGCTGCCCCCCAGTAACTTTGGAACAGGACCTTCACAGAAAAATGCATAGCTGGATGCTGCAGAGTCTAGCGTTTGCTCTAACATCTCTCGTCCTTTCGTGTGCAGAAACCATCGATTATTATGGGGAAATCTGTGACAATGCATGTCCTTGTGAGGAAAAGGACGGCATTTTAACTGTGAGCTGTGAAAACCGGGGGATCATCAGCCTCTCTGAAATTAGCCCTCCCCGTTTCCCAGTCTACCACCTCCTGTTGTCTGGAAACCTTTTGAACCGTCTCTATCCCAATGAGTTTGTCAATTACACCGGGGCTTCAATTTTGCATCTGGGTAGCAACGTTATCCAGGACATTGAGACTGGGGCTTTCCACGGGCTGCGGGGTTTAAGGAGATTGCATCTGAACAATAATAAACTGGAACTTCTGCGAGATGATACCTTCCTCGGCCTGGAGAGCCTGGAGTACCTACAGGTCGATTACAATTACATCAGTGTCATTGAACCCAATGCTTTTGGGAAACTGCATTTATTGCAGGTGCTTATCCTCAATGACAATCTCTTGTCCAGTTTACCCAACAACCTCTTCCGTTTTGTGCCCTTAACGCACTTGGACCTGCGGGGGAACCGGCTGAAACTTCTGCCCTATGTGGGGCTGTTGCAGCACATGGATAAAGTTGTGGAGTTACAGCTGGAAGAAAACCCCTGGAATTGCTCCTGTGAGCTGATCTCT